CTCTGGGCCAATCACCAGGAGACAGGGAGTTCTAGCCCCGCCTTAGGTATGAAAGCCAGTTAGGTGACTCTGGGCCAATCACCAGGAAACGGTGAGTTCTAATCCCGCTGTAGGCATGAAAAGATAGCTGGGTGACTTTGGACCAATCGTCAGGAGACAGTTGCACCTCCCAAGCTACTTAAGGCCTACTTCCAAAATAATGCTCACTGCAAGGTCCCGCCAGCCATCCCCTCACATGGCTGACGGCAGGGAGACTGCAGCCACCCGCCCGCGTATCTCACCCCACCAGGTTCTTGCAAACCTTCAGCCATCTTCCACCCCACCAGGCCCCCTCCTCACCCGTTGTTAACCATTGGGCATGCCTCCTTATTCCTGAGCCACGTGGCCTGGTCCCCGAAGAGGCTGCCACCCAGGGGAGGGGCAGGAAACCACACCCAGGTCTGTGGGGTCCCCAAAGGATGGGAAACGAAGCATTGGGGGTGTGCCAGGAAAGGAGAGACCTTAGCCAGCTGGTCAGTCTGCGCTAGACTTCCCAGGGCATCTCCTACCACTCAGGTGTCCCGTGCTCTGCCTAACGACCGCATTGGGGTATACAGGGAATGAGAATTGTTAAACAAGGTGCTCACGTGGTCGCCATGTTAAAGAACTGCCATAACTTGCGACTCTAATGGGCACGCTCCATGGCAGTCGTAACTCAAGGACTAGCTGAAATAGGTCAGGATAATGAAGCTCATTTAAAGTGGACCTGCTAACAAGTCCTCATTTGTCTGCCGACATCCACGTTCCACGGGTTAGATTTTCCAGTAAAAAGAGAGCAGAAACGTGGGGTCCCTACCTATGTGACGGTGGATGTGCCCTATCACCTTTCCTTTACTCAAGGAGGTGACCCGCAAGCTGTTGTCCCAGTGACCTCCACTGAAGAGGAGCTTGCCGTCGTGAGAGACCACCAACGTCTTGGAGGACAATTCTGCCCCCGGGGCAAAGGGGCCGTACAGGTAGCGCTGCGTCCTGGCAGGAGAAAGCGAGAAGGTGGTTGGAAGAGGTGGAAGAAGATGGAAGGAGCTTCTCAGGATGTCCTTGGGGTGGGAGAAGAAGCTGGGACTCACTTTGGGTTGGAGACGGTGGAGTCTTTGGTGAAGCTGAAGTAATTGGAGATGTTTTTATCGTACGGCAACCAGCTGTGAGTTCCCAGCAGCCCATTGGCGCTGACTGTGACCTGGACAGAGGGTGAGGAACATCAACTAAGAATGAGGGAGAAGAAGCAACGGGGTGGGGTGAGGAAATATTAGAAGGGCCGTGTTGGGTCAAGCCAAGGTCCACCTTTTTGTTCCTATTTCTTGGTGGACATCTAGATGGGTCTCAGATGGTGGACATCTAGATGGGTCTCAGGTAGGATGGAGAACTACCGTCTTGTATGGTTGTTTCTCCATAACTGATCTTCTACACAGAGGTAACATGGGGTCTTCAAGATGTGTAGACCCCAACAGACCTCCAATCCCTTCTGAAGGCCAGCCAAGTTGGTGGTTACCACCACGTCCATGACAGTGAATTCCAGACGTTTATTAGCTCTGTATGAACAACTATTTCTTTTGGACTATTCTATACCTCCTTTCTAGAAAAACACGGATCAGGCCAAGGGCCTGTTAATCCAGCATTTTGCTCCTTGTGGTGGCCAACTTGAGCTCCCTAGTGGGAGATGGACACATCCTTCCCCTTTTTCTCCTGCAACAGATTGGGAGGCTCCCAATTTGGAGGTAACATGGCGTCTTCGAGACTCACAATCCTCAGTAGACTGGTCTTCCACCAATTTACATATCCTCTTCTAGAGTCGCTTGATGATCTTGCCCATCCTTATCATCCCCTCTTGTGGCAAAGAGCTCCACAGGAGAACTCTACGCTACATGAGGAGGACCTTTCTTATATCAGTTCTAGATCTTCTCCTCAATCAAGGGGAAAGGCAGACTCTGAGAGTACAGGTAATCCCCAGATTATGAGCATTCCCTTAGCAAACATTTGAAGTTACGCAATTAGCGCCTCTTGTATTTCCGAACAAGGCCCGAAACTACGAATCTTGCAGCTCCATGACAGTTGTTCATTCTCATGAACAGCCACAGAGGCTCTGCAACATTCGTCTGTTACTGGCCAAAATGGAGGGGTGAATTTGACACTCAAAAGCCCCATTCGGCCCTCTGCATCCTTTCCCCAACTCATCGCAGGCCGAATGGAGCCTTGGAGAGATGGATGTGGCCCCCGGAAGATCTATTTTGGCCTACAACAGGCCAGGGGGGGTCTGTGGAGGGCCGAATGGAGAGTTGGAGGGCCAGATTCTGGCCTGGCCTGGCCTGGCAGGTTAGTGGGGCGGGGAGAGGCAATTCTGGGGAGCATGAGGTATTTCAGTGGGTCTGGGAGGCCTTGGGTGGTCTTAGGGAGGTGGCATGTTCCATCACTGACTTTCCCCAACTTGAAATACCTCATGTGCACTTAACGAACCATGCACTCGATTAGCGAATGCGTGGGTGAAAGAAAGGAGTGATCTCGCACCTTGAACGAGATTCACTCCTATGAATCCTCAGGTTACGAATGGAACGGGCAGGCTCCGTTCCATTCGTAACTCGAGGATTACCTGTAACTTCTTTTGGGTTCTCCAGTTCTCCTAGGTCAACTGTCCACTACGTCAACTTTCTGAAAAAAAATTGCTGCAAGAGATCAAGGATCCCTTTTTTTCCTTTCTTACCATCATGTCAGGAGATCCCTGAGTCATGAAAGAATGAGACTGACTCTTGGGGACGACCACCTGGACAAGCGGGATCCGGTCACTGATGCCCTAAACGAAGAAGAGAAAACAAACCATCATGATGATCTGGTGTATCTTTGTAGGTCGGTCCTAAAGGTGCTTTTCTAAAAGGATAACTCAAGCTTCTTGGTTTTTCTTTCCCTTGAAAAAGTTCTGCATCTCGTCCAAGAACCTTCCTCAGTTCCTTCAGCACCTGTATGCGGTTGTTAAATGAATCTGGCTTCCCCCACCCCCACCCCAATGATTGGGAAGAGGGGGAAGGTCACAATCGGCAGATCACGTGATCCCAGGACCCTGCAACTGTACAGGAAATCCGCAACTTACAGCCACAATTCAGCCCAAAATTATTGTTGCTAAGTGAGACGTTTGTGGAGTGAACTTTGTCCCACTTTACGCCCTTTCTTGCCACAGTTGTTAAATGAATCATTTCAGTTATTAAAAATGGGGAGCACCGTTGTTAAGTGAATCGCACTGATTTTGCTTGTCAGAAGATTGCAAAAAGGAGGATCACGTGACCCCCTGGGACACTTCAACCGTCATAAATGTGAGTCAGTTCCCAAGCATCTGAATTTTGATCATGTGACCATGCAAGTGTCATTAAATGTGAAAAACTTAGTGATGTTATAACTCCAAATGGTCACTAAATGAACTTTTGTAAGTCGAGGACTATCTCTACGTGCTGGTTGCCACATACATGAATTCTGATCATGTGACCGTGGGGATTACTGAGACTGTCATAAGTGCGAGGACCGCTTTTCTCAGCGCCATTGTAACATCAAAGAGCCACTAAATGAATGGTTGTAAGCTGAGACGGCCCGTATTGGTCTTCCCCGTATAGATGGGAAGCAATCAAAACAACTCCTTTCATCCAGGGGTGGGATTTAATTTTTTTAACAACCGGTTATGTGGGCGTGGCTTGGTGGTCATGTGACTGGCTGGGCATGGCTTGGTGGTCATGTGACTGGCTGGATGTGGCCAACTCAACATCACCCACATCGAGGCACGCATCTCCTCGCCTGGCCTCTCATGACTGTGGGGATGCTGCAACAGTCGTAAGTGTGAAAAATGGTCATAAGTCACTTTTTTCAGTGCCATTGTAAGTTTGAATGGTCACTCCACACAAACAAAGTACCAGCAAAGTACCAGCAAAGGAGGGGAAAAAAACTCCAGAGAAGTTCCTGAGACAGGAAGTCCAGTCCTGCTAAGAGTGTAAAAAGGGTTAACGGAGAGGCAGTTTGTGTAAGCAACACCAGAATGTTTCCTTCCTGCCTTCCTTACAGGATTAGCCCTATAATTCCTTCTAACAACTGGTTCTCCAAACTGCTTAGAATGTTAACAACCGGTTCTAGCAAATAGGTGCGAACTGGTAGAATCCAGCCCCAGCTTTCGTCTCAGACTCACTTCAACAAAGAACGATTTGAGCTGATCCAGGTTTTCAAAAATGTTCGGAGAATAAGTATCCAGTCGAGAAACTCTCCTGGCAGCGCTTTCAGCGGAGAAACGGGCTGGGTGTGGCTCCTGTGGAGAAGGCGGAGCGGAAGAAAAAAATGGTCAATTTCACACGGAATTGTCGTTTTTCCATTTCGCTGAAGATATAGGTCATCCTTGGCTTACAACCACAACAGAGCCCAACGTTTCCGTTGCTAAGCAAGACACTTGTTAAGTGAGTTTGGCCCCATTTCCCAACCTTTCTTGCCACAGTGGCTCAGTGAATCCCTGAAGTTGTTAAAGTTAAGTGAAGTGAATCCGGCCACCCACTGATTTTGCTGGTCGAACGGTCGCAAAAGAGGATCATATGACCCCCCGGGGCCCCCACAAACATCATAAATAGGAGCCGGTTGCCAAGCATCCGAATGTTGGTCACGTAGCCATGGGCGTGCCGCCATGGTTTCAAGTGTGAAAAAAATCGTTCTAAGTCACTATTTTTGGCGCCGTTGTAACTTTGCATGGTCGCAAAACAAAACTTACTTAATAAGGGCCGTGCATAAGTGCACAATCGTGTCTACCATCCCTGAACTATTATCCCCAATTATTAGTTCCTATTTCTTATATTTAAACTTACGTTTGTTCTTATTTCTATTGTATTGTAAGCTTTTGACAAAAATAAATAAATAATAAAATAATAATAACTGTCTCACTTAGCAACAGACATTTTGGCCTCCCGTAAAACAAAAGCTTAAATGTTTCAAATAACCATTCCTCAATATTTAACGAAGGTCTTTCTTCATTTCCTCAATCATTTATAGGCCAATTCTTGTCCGCCTTCAAGATTTAGTAGCTCGCTACAGGTAGTTCTTAAGACCACAATTGATGCGGCAACGGTCGCAAGTGTTAAAATGAGTCAAAACTAACTGTTTTCAGGGCTGTTGTGACTTCAAACAGTCACTAAATGAATGGTTTTAAGTCAAGGACGTCCTGTACTTCTTTACTGCTTGTTCTGGCTAGATCCTGAATCCTAGGAGAAAACCGCCTCCTTATCCACTGCGGAAACCACAACAGCTGCAATTATTAACCCCCCGGTACCTTCAACAGCTGGCAGGGGGTCTGCCCAAAGTTATTGATGAAGCCTTCCAAAGCCTTCCGATGTGTTTCGTCTGCGATCGCATCCAAATCGACTGCCCCTAAGTGAAAACGGCAGATGTAAGACAGAAACGACGGGCTGCACAGCTTACAGTACAATACGGGAGTGGAACAAGCTGCTTTGACATCTCTTTGGATGCAGAGCTGAACGATAATCAAAGGGTTGTAGTATCTGCCCCAAATCTCTGCTCCTAGTGGTTCTAGCGCAACTTGCCCCCGCTGACTCACCGAGGCACAACTCACTGCGGCCAAAGTGTCATGGGAAAATTTCCCATGGATAAACTCAACACAGGATAATTGTACGGGATATCTGCCACTGTTTTGTCAGCATGTGATCACATTTTGGCATTTTCGTGAGTGACAAAAATTAAAATGATGTTGAAGAAAGCGTACGGATAACGGAACAGCTATCCTGTGTTGAATGGTCCCACAGCGAGTTGTCCTCTGGAGAATGGGCCACGGTGAGTCGGTTCCGTGTATTGGCCAGGGCAAGTCAGCTGACGGCATTGTCCCATTCTGGGTTCTGGTAGCCCTTCACCCATTTGTCGCTGTGGTTTTGGGTTTTTTTTTTGCAAAGAAGTTGAGAGGGTTGCTAATTCGTATCGAACGCTTGCACAGTCCCTGCGAAGGAAGGGTCCCTGCCTTAAAATCGCCTCCTACCTTCATAAGTGCAATAATAGAATACATTCAGAGCCTCCACAGCGGCTGGGCCCCGCTGCTTATAGCCGAAGATCAAGTCGATCCATTCATGCAGATGGGCTGAGACATACTCAGATTCCTGTGAAGGGAGCAGCACAGAGATGGGAAGTCAAACAGGCTGTTTTTTCCAACGCAGAACAACCCAATTCACCCTAGGGTGCAAAAACCATTCCTAAATGAGGACGCCCACAGATCAGAGGTGGTATTATTCAGCTGGTTCTGACCGGTTCTAGAGAACCGGTAGCAGAAATGTCGAGTAGTTGGGAGAACCCGGCCAATCCCACCTCTGACTGGCCCCGCCAGCCCCCTCTATTCTCTGCCTCCCGTCGAGTCCCAGCTCATGGGCTGGGTCTTCTTTGGTTGCCCTGCACAGGAGAACGGAGCTGGAAAGCAGGTTAGTGGGGTGGGGAGGGAATGGGGATTTTGCAGTATATCCTTCCGCTGCCACGCCCACCAAGCCACGCCCACAGAACCGGTAGCAAAAAAAATTGAATCCCACCACTGCCACAGATGTATTTAAAACCCTGAAATTTAGAGATAGCTAGACAACTCATGTCCTGGTGGGACATCATTTCAGAGATACTTCGCTATCTAAATGAGAAATATAATGAACAATGGCTTTTGACTTCCTGCAGGCTTCCCCATTAATTATCCTTGTAGGAAGTTGGCCGGAATGTTCCTCTCTACAAACCCTTCTAGTCCTGATCATGTTACCTAGTTGGATCATGAAACATCTGCAAGAAAACCACCAAGCTCGGAGACCGCCAAGGACACCCCACAATTCTACATTTGTCCAGACATTTGTCCAAGCTTAAGGTGGGGCGGCCTTCCTAGCAACCTCAGTGTGCAGCCAGGGCTTCGTTTCACCTACTAGTGCTTGCCGGTGTTTGTGGATAAAATCTTCTGGGGATTTGGCCCATTTGGGAAGGACCACGTCCCCCACTTTCTCATTCGATATCTGAAGAGAGCCGAGATCGAAACCTGCGGAAGGCAAGAGAGAGGAAGTTTGTAATGTTTTCAAGACGGGACACAGCGCTTGCTGGCTGAAAGAGGATAAACTTCAGGTGCAAATATAGGTAACAGAAGATATATAAGTAATTGTGTAAATATATTATCATGTAATATAAAGATATATATTGTAAACACATATGTAGTCCTTCACTTACTATAACTGAGCCCAGAATTTTTATTGCGAAGCGAGATAGTTGTTGAGTGAATTCTGTCCCATTTTACAACCTTTTTTTTGCCAGTTTTAAAGGGAATTACTGCAGTTGTTATGTCAGTCACACGGTTGTTAAGTGAATCTGGCTTCCCTTACTGAAGGTCGTGAAAGGCGATCACGTGACTCTGGGACACTGCAACCGTCATAAATAGGAGTCAGTGACCGAGCATCTGAAAACCCCAGGGAGCGCTGTTGTAACTTTGAACTGTCACTAAATTATTTGTCATAAGTCGAGGACTACCCGTAACGCTTTGGACTGCAAGTTTTGATTATCTTGCTTCCGGTTTCTCTGTGATATTGTTAGAAACGCGAACGGCCCCGCTGGCTGAGCGACACTCCTTACCATTCTGGTTTTCCAGAAAATCGGTGAAGTAGAAGAATTCTGGAATCAATTCCTTCACATCCACCGGGTTCTCCAAGCGAGCCTGCCAAGTGGCAGGAACCGAGTGGAACTGGCGGTCAGCACAATCAAATCTGGAGCAGGAGGAAGAGAAGATGGAATAATAAGGATCCCCGCCAAGGACTGAGCGTGCAGGCGCAACATCAGGCTGATATCACGATGTTGGTTCGACAACAAAACAGCCCAACCAAATTCATCGCGGGACCTTAACCCCATCCCCCAATCAAACTTTTGCTAGATTGGGGAAACCTGGATATTATTGGGGTTTGGAGTGAAACGAGGATGCTTATCGCAGCAAGGATGAGCGGTCCAGGGTTGCGTTTCCGGCTCACCTCCCGCTCTGCAGCTGGATATGCAGGGTGGTGAACGGCTCTACGCGGATCAGGTAATGCATGACGCCCGCTGCGTTGGAGTAGTGGGTGCCATAGTGGAATTTGTCAGTCTTCCCCATGGGGTCCTCGAAGCTCTCGTACCTGAAGCAACAGAGCGAGGACACAACAAGATCAGGAAAGGCCGACGCGAAGGATGAAGTGAACTGGATCTCTTGATCAGAGATTTGAGGATCTGCTCCGTAAATCCATTTGCGGATTCCTGCCTTACAAGGTGGCATGAAGTCCCAAAGAACCACCCAGGACACACACATTGCTCCCAGATCAAATCCAACAACTATTGAACTGAGTGGGGAACGACATTCTTAAGACCACCATGTACATATCTCCGGGAGCTTCAGATGGAAAGCTACCATGTTTCTCCAAATATAAGACCCCGTCTTATTTTCTTTTGTGCTCCGAAACAAGCACTAGGGCTTATTTTCAGGGCATGTCTTAATTTCACACCACCACTTCTTCTGCTTGCTCACGGCGGGGCATGAAGCCACATGGCACACCAGTGCTGCCACCGCGAGATGGGAGTAGAGCTGCTTTACACACCACACATTGGCTTACCTCAGGACCCCCAAAGCCAGGCCACCCATGCCCCAAGACCTGCCTTGCCTTGTGGTGGTGGCTTCAGCAGCCCCATCCAGCAGGACGCCATGTGGCTGCCAGTCCATTTTTTTGGCTTGCTCATGGTCGCAACAAACAGGAGTAGCAGCCATGAAGTAGTTGTCGGGGCGTAGATGGCCTGTCTGTGGGGACCCCGAGGTAAGTCGGTGTGAGGCGTGTGGGGCAGCGCCAACCCTCCTCCCCTCGTGTCGGTGGCACCACGAGCAACCGGATGGAATGGGAGGGCGCCCGGCTGTGCAAGCACTTAAGCAGAGCTTATTTTGGTGGTAGGGCTTATATTAGGTGCATGCATAAAACATGCTAAGTCTTATTTGGGGGATAGGTCTTATTTTTGGGAAATCAGGATAGCAGCTGATCATTCAGGGAAAACTTTAACAAATCTGACAACTTATAACTGGTAGGTTTCCACTCATGACCATAACGGAGTTGGCGCATTATGGTGAAGCCGTGATGGGATCACCTCGCTTAATGATCCCAAACTCACCTATCCCCGATACTATTATTAAGTGACCGCTTGGGACATTAAGTGGAATCCAGGGTGCCACAGGGAGTCTAGCCACAGGCTTGCTGCTCTGGGACTGCCAAGACCCCCCCCTCTATTTCCCACATCATGGGGAACCCCACAGGTTTGCTTCACCCCGCTATCGGACCCCCAATGACCGCAGGGACCCAGCAAGGCAGGATGGGGGTGATAGATGGGGGTGCAGTTGTCCGTAAGGGTCAATGACTGTAGGGATGCCACAGCAGCCAGAGTCATTGTTCTGACCCAGCTCCGCAAACACGACTGAACTAATTCCTTTATTAGGAGCGCCCACAGCCCCGCAAAATGCTTCTCTCCTATAGCAGGCTAACAAGTCCGGCTGGCTAGAAGATGAATAGTTGTCTGCCATATCTATATCCATCTCCGCCCCCTGCCTTTTATCCCCAGAGCTCGGGGGGCAGCTTTGCTAGCAGCAGCGGCTCTTCGTTCCCGAGGACCGGCCCGTAGATTTCCACTGCTCTCCTCTCCTCTGCTTTCGGCACATCCGCACGTCAGGCACTGGGCCCAGCTATCCCTCCTCTTCCTCATCGGCCACCTCCAGACCAGGGGGCTGCTGACTCTCCATCGGAGGGCTGACGGATAGCTCAGGCTCCGCCTCTGTCACTCTTTCTCTGCCACCTCCATTTTCTCTTCCCCCTCAGAGCTGTGGGGATCTGTTGTAACTTCAGTCGCTAAGCAATCAGTCGCATGCCACAGGCTGCATGTCCCACACAGTTCTGCCTGCGCTGTATGATTGGGTGTGGTGGCCCGTCTTTTTTGCAGGCCGCGTTGCTCCCAACAGGGAGACCCCCGTGAAACACCCCGACTTTATTTCACCCCAACGGATTTTGAAAAGCTCCCCCGTGAAGGGTGCATCCAGTTCTCTCCTCTTCCTACATTTGCGTCGTTGAATGCCTACGTTTAATGACAAAGTTCTTGCGGTTCTGTTTTCCCGCTGGGCTCCTAAGTTGGCTTCCAGCTCCCAGAGTCCCTAGCGAGAGGTTCTAATAGTGAGGGATTCTGGGAAGTGAAGTTCCGGTGTGATTGCAGGGCTCAAGATGGGAAGACCAAGCTTGGCCCAAGGCAGTTTTTACAGAATGACAGGCAGGAGGGACGAGAACGTTGCCAAGCAAGTTAAGCTAATCCGCACCCAGTTTTACAACCGCCTTTGCCTCGGTTGCTAAGTGAATCACTACAGTTGTTAAGCGAATCTGGGCTTGCCCGTTATCTTTGCTTGTTGGACGCCAGCTGGAAATGATAATCATGTGACCTGGGGATCCTGTAGTTCCTGAATTCTAATCCCTCGATTGTGCGGATGCTGCGGCCGTTATATGTGCGAGGACCCGTCGCACATCACCTTTCTCTCCAGTTAACCTCAAGCGATCTCTAAATGAATGGCCATAAGCCAAGGTCTACCTGCGGCTCCTCCCTCCCTGCTCACGAGCAGACCCTCGCACTCACTTCTCCCTGACATCCTTGGCGTGTTTCTCATTGGCCACCCCGATGGGCTTGGACAGATCCCGGAAAACGGCTGGGTTGCTGAGATCCAGGGTCTCCGAGACATAATCTTGCAGGATCCAGGGGAACTGAACAAGAGGGAGATAGGAAAATATGGTCTGATTCCATTTCGTGGGAGGGAGTCATCCATAGTTCAGGGGCCTCCGACCTTGGCCCCTTTACGACTTGTGCGCCCTTCAACTCCCAGAATTCCTCAGCCAGAACATCTGGCTGGGGGATTCTGGGAGTTGAAGTCCACATAACTTAAAGCAAGGCTGGTGGACATGCGTAGAAGCTAAAAAAGTATTGGACTAAAGAACGCATATGTGGCTGGAGAAAATGATAAAACAATCTATAGAGTTAAAACCAGAGACATTTTTATTGGGAATATGGCCCGAGGGTTATAGCAAAGAGTTAACCTACTCGATTATCAGCGTATTAACAGCAGCTAGGATTGTATTTGCACAAAATTGGAAAAATGAGAAAATCCCGATGGATGAGGAAATAATTAAGAAGATAATGGAATGGGCTGAAATGAGTAGATTGACAATGGCAATTAGAGAACAAGAGGAAAAAGATTTATTATAAAATTGGGAGTTTGTTTTATGACTGGCTGGATAGAAGAGTAAGGAACTGAAATATGTAAGCACAGTATAATATTTATTACTGATAAACGAATGAGTTAGACAGAGTAAGAAAATGAATATGAAATATATTATTGAAAATCAATAAATGCCGGGCGTGTTTGAATGCAATGGGATACCGAACGCGGCTTTAATCATAGTCTGAATCCATAATCTTCAATCTTCAATCATTATGGGGATAAGATTTTATTATCTTTCTACTGTTCTGCTTATTACTGTCTGGATGGCATAAAGCAGACAGAGTAACTCCACAAAGCATCCACACAAAAGTCTTTTTTATCGGTTCATCGGGCATCCTTATCAACTCACGGTTATGACGAGGTTCTTCTTAAGGTCCAATTCTTTGCATATCTGCATTATGGTGTAGAAAGATAATAAACTCTCATCCCCGTGATGATTGAAGCGGCTGCATGGTAATGGATTCAGGCAAGAGTGAGGGAGCCTCCCCCAACCCAACCAGGGTCAATTTAGTGACCAATCAGGATTACAGAAGTGACCACATGACATGGACTACATTTCCCAGCATACCTTGACTACATTTACCTTAAGGGGACAGTTCTCAATTCCTATCCCAAATCCCATTAACTCTAAACTGTCTGGACAGCACATACTGATTAGAAGTAAAATATAAGTAAGTAAAATATGTATGATAATGCTATTATGTGCACAAAGAAATGTGTACCCAACTGACACACTGATGAACGGAAAGAAGGTTTTATTTGTTAGTTTTTGTTGTTGTTATAAAAATAATTTTTTTAATTTTTTTAAAAAAACCCACATAACTTAAAGCATGCGCTGGCTGAGGAATTCTGGGAGGTGAAGTCCACAAGTCGTAAAGTGGCCAAGGTTGGAGACCCCTGATCCATGGGATTCCCACTGGGGGGTGGGGGGTGTGAGGTGCTCCAGAAGACCCCTTCCCTCATCTACGCCCCAAGCCCCTTTTATCCCAGAGTCTTACCACGGGATACTGGGAAAGGTCATTGTAGGTGCGTCCTGCGATGGTGTTCAGCTGCATGAGGTATTCAAAATTGGAGATCTCCCTATAGACCCATTTCTGGAGGAGGAAAACAAAAGGGACCGACTGAGACATACTGGGGAGGGCGGGGGGGGGGGGGCCCAGGGAAGGGGGGGGGGGGGGGAAAATGCCCACGGGACCAAAGGGTACCTGAGTCAGTCCAGAGGCCTTGAGCAAATCCTGCGGGGAGCGGCTGCCTTGATAGATCTGGCTGGGAAGCTGCAAGCTGAGGATGGTGGAGTAGACCTTGTTCCTCACCTGTGAGGGCGGAAGGAAGCCGGTGGGGGATAAGGCAACGCTCAGGCGGGTTAAATATATTTAATTTAATTTTTTTATTTAATATTTGATTTGATTTTTAATTTATTTTTTTAAATTTCATTATTTCTTTGCTACTTGTTTCTATCCCGACTGCATTATTTTTATAGATAACTCAAGGCGGTGAACACATCCTTCTATTTTCCCCACAAAAACCACCTGTGAGAGATGGAAAGAGCGGAGGAGTCACTCAGCCGGCTTGCATGCCTAAGGCGGGACTAGAACTCTCAGTCGCCTGGTGATTGGCCCAAAGTCACCCAGCCGTCTTTCATGCCTAAGGCAGGACTAGAATTCACAGTCTCCTGGTGATTGGCCCAAAGTCACTCAGCCGTCTTTCATGCCTAAGGC